AGAAAACGTTCATTGCTGCCAAAGTGGTTGAAGTCTGATTGCTGCTTGCCTGGTCTGGACTTCTCCAGTTCTTCACCTGGGTTTAGGTCTATACAAGACTAGACTGCTTCTGGACTCCACACCTTTCAGGCAGCTGGAAAACTTTGTTGGTTCACAGTGGCAGAATTTTCTGCTCCTCTTTGGTCTGGGATTCCTGCCTTGGTTGCTCCTCTGCAGGCTGGACTATATGCTTTAAGTACGACCCTCCTGTGTGCCTGGAGTCTGAGCCATAAGTTGCTGCTCCTGCAGGCAGCTTCTGGAATTCTTCTTTTTTTGGTACCCTACTCAGGGCCTCCCTACCTAGGAACACCACCTCTGCCTGACGGATCTCCTCAGTCGGCTATGTATCTGTAACCAAGAATTGGGTAGTCGGTGGACACTTTCCCATGTCCAACTGCCTCAGTGTGTATTTGGTGGTACTACAGATAGATGAGTCTCTTCTTATGCTGGTGTTTGCTGGTCCTTACTTGGAGCTCAGAATGCATTTTCCCATAGAAGTAATGGTGTAAAATGCTGTTTAGGTATAAGTGAAATTTAGCAGTATACTTAAGGGACATTACGGTTTAAATAGCTGTTTTTAGACTGATTCGCAAAACTAATCATAGCTTAAAATTTCTTTGGAAAAATGCATTCTGATTAGGAAATAATTTATAAACTTTCCTTTTCTAATTTGAGAACTACTTATGTAGGAATTTGAAGCCATTGCTTTCTTTTTTCATTTTAGGTATTTTGGTGGGGCTGAAATTTTTCCTGTTAAATTCCTCAAAAATTAATTATATTAAAATTTTTTTCCATTAAATTGAAAATAGCAGTATAAACTATTGTGTTAGGGTTTGTGGAGTCTGTGAACATGGAAGCAGAATATAGTGCTAATGGCAAGTAGGTGAGCCTTTCATGAAAACAATGGAGTGAGGAATAGATTTGGAATCAGAATGGCAACTCCTTGAGGACAAGGATTTTTGTTCTGTTTTGATTTGGCATTCCCAGTACCAAGCATAGTGCCCTAAATAAAGCGAATGTTTAATAAATGCTTGTTAAATTTATTTTAATCTATGGATAATATTTTAAAAAAGCTGTTTTTTATATAAGGGCACTTTAAATGTGAGTTATCTAAAACAGATACTTAAATCCAAACATAATAGAAATATTTTCATCCTTAGTAATTTTCCCTGTAGACAATTCCTAATTTTACTGGCCCGAGAGTCTTTGGCTTAATTAGCCCTAAATGTATTTTATCTTCCCAATTTTTGTCATTCTCTTCATTTTGGTGTTTAAAGTTTAATGATCTACATATTAATCTACTGTAGGACCTCATGCTAGGAAGTACCTAGGAAGAACCAGTGACTGACCTTTATTGATGGCTAAGCTGGCATCCAGCCTTCCTTTGGTGAAGGCTCCCCCTCTGTCAGTGATGCCACCACCCTTCTGGCCCTTTAGAGTTAGCATCATCCCCCCAGTCCCTCCCCATCAAATTAGTTCTTCCAAAGTCTGACAGATTCTTTCTCTGAAATACTGTGGTGGTAGTAATGATGGCAGTTTAAAGTCTTCATTCCACAGCTGTCACTGTAAGGCAGGCTCTCACCATGTTGGTTTTAGAATACTGTAATAACCTATATGCTGTTGTTGTATTAACCTTTCTAAACCCTGGGTTTATTGCATAGGTGCTTTGCCCAGAAGCCATTTGGCGTCCATTTTGAATTTGCATCATCTTTCTTCCTCCACACCTTGAACTGCTCTTGACTTAATCTCTTATGCCTTCCCTGTCTTCTGTGAAATCATCATTCCTTTGGCCCGAAGATGAGGTATATCCCCTTTTCACTAAACTAGCATTTGTTCATTTGAATCCCTTCTCTGCCGATTTTCTCTGAGTACCGACTTTTAGCAATTATTTCCTCACATTCATTTGTAATTTCTCCCTTTTCTCTGGGGACTTCTCTTTATAGGGAGGGGCTTAGACCAAAACTCCTGCCAAAAACCTGTCTCCTGATCCTGCCATCCCCTTAAGCCATTGTCTTATATTCTTCCCTGCACTGCCAAACTTTTAGAATGAGGAGTTTGCACTTGCTCTGTTTTCTTCAAGCCTTTTCACTCAACAGTCTGCAAGATGGTTACTTTCAAGACCTCCCTCCTCAGTGACTTTTTCTCATTCTCAGTATTTGACAGTGTTGACCAACTCCTCTTTCTTGACAACTCCCTATCCTTCAGGGACACTGTTTTCTTTCAGCTCTCTTCCTAGAGGACGAGTGAAGGGTGGATAGGAGGGAGGGAGACAGCGTCAAAATAATAGCCACTGCATGTCTTGTGATTGGGGAATGGCTTAACTAATTGTGGCTTCTTATTGCACCATAAGAAATGGCTTACAAAAGAAGATGTCAAGACTTGTATAAAATGATTCAGAAGCCAAACCCAAGTATATCCGTGTCATAGAACAAAATCCAAAAAGGGCCCCTAAGGGAAAATGGTTCTGAGGAGGTCACAGAAACACAGACCATCTTATTGCCTTGTTAAAGCTAATATACATTTTGGAAGAACTATAAATAACAGAAATTTGTTTCATGAATAATTTTTATTTGTATATTTGAATTTTGAGGGTTGGCTGTTTATGAGAATGCAGATCTTTTCTTCCATAAGCACAGATGCTGATTTATAGAATTTGTGTGTGATTCCCAGTTTTTTGAATGGTTGATGGTTTCTTTAAAGCAGTGTCCCCAAACTAATTTGTCCAGGGAATAAAGTACTTTTGGACTTGAAGTGTATTGAGTGATTCTATAAATGTTGGAGTGGAATCCCTATGGATGAAGGTAAGGGGGTATTTTGGAAGTTGAATGATAAAATAGAGGTAATTTTGCCTATTTTGATAGGGGAAAAATATGCAGGTAATTATTTTTGACAGAAGCCAGATTAGGCTTGGTTGCCAGTGACTCAGGAGGTGTATATAGAGAGTCTTATGTCTTCTAGGTCTTACAGGTTTGAAAGTAACAACTTGACGTAGACCACAGGAGTCCCAAAAGGCTCTCTTGAATTAAAGGAAAGGCTTAATGGTGCACCATTCTTTCCTTCTTTTTATTGATGGGTTTTCTTTTGTTGCAGTTTACTTCTGAAAGACTCTTAAGTTTGGACCAGTCCAGTCTTTCATAGAACTATGCTGAGATTTTTGCTTTATTTGCAGAATTTTTGCAAGTTCTTTTGCCTTAATAACTTACTTAAGGGAGGCCTTTAAGCAGAAGTGTGATACTCCTATCTTTTTTTCCTGCTCATCTCTACTGAGAGAAAAGACGTTTGCTATCTTTTGAACGTTTCCCCTCCTCATGTCCTAGGAAATTAGCAGAAGCTTTGAGACTTTCTTCCCAAACCCCCATTTATGTTGCAAAGAACACCAAGACTGCATATAAGACTGGAAACAGCTCAGGAAATAATGTCTTAAGATATTATTTAGGCTGTTATTTATCTTGTGGATATTTACCTGCACTTTTGCACCTGTCCTAATGGGCAGAAAAGTGTGTGGATATATCTGTCAAGCTTTACTTCTTGGTAGCAGCTTTAATGGGAAAGGTTCATGGGGGAGATAAAAGGAATATCAGTTTCACGTTTGACAGGTACTCGTTTCCTCACCTGTCCCTTCCACTAGCAGAGCCATCAGCCTGGTTTAGTACTTGAAGGTCTGGAATGTGGTAGTGTGAATCAGAACTTCTTCTCCGTTCCTTGTTAGGCCAACTTGGAGAATTGCTCTGGCCAAAGCACTAATCTCCCTCGGACCAGCCTCATGATGAGCATCTCCAAATAGGCTGCTGTCCAATGACAGGCATGTCAGGTGACACAACTTCCCGCCTTGGTCAGACTTGCCAGAGGCTGTGTTTGCTGGCCTGCCCTTCTGAGGTGCTGGTCACTGCCCACGCCATGAGGAGGCCATGATCATTTTAGGCTTCTACATGAAAGGCTAAAGGAAGCTTCTGACTTGTGCTATTATTGATAGAGCTTGCTGGTTAGAGTCATGAGACCTGGGTTTGAATCCTGTCTCTAATACTTACTAGTTATGGAATCAAGTTGTTGATTACATACCAGGAGCAGTATTTTTATCCCTTACCTCATAGGGTTGTTGTAAGGAAGAAGTTTTGTAAACTTTAAAGTGAAGTACAAATGTGAGTTGTTCCCTTTTTCACCCATACTATCTTTGTCCTCTATTAGCATGAACAATTGAGAGTTGACTGTTTTGTGCACTAGGTTTCGGCCAGCTGAGGCCAGTTGCCACCAGAAGCTAATTGTTAGATTTGAGTATAGGGGTAGAAAGGTAAGAGACCCAATCCCTTTCTCTTTTCATTGAAAAGCACATTGTGCACTTTACCCTATTTAATGTTCTCTTAAAAGAAAATAAAGTAGGCTCTCATTTCTTTTTTTTGGCAGGACTCTTATGTCTAGGACGCTTCCTGACTATGTGACCTTGGGCAAGTTTCTTAATCTCTCATTGTCATAGGCTAAAAGCCTCTTAAGTTGCAGAGAAGGTACTCACCTGTTTGGGCAGAAGCGTTTTCCGTATTGGGACTGCCCCGGATAGTGTCTAGTCTCTGTCTTCATTTGTGGAATGGTAGAAATGCCTGAAATAATACATCTTCTCTTAGCCTTTTTAAAAATTCAATCCAACTTAAAGTTAAAAACATTTTCAGAGAACTGTGGTCATTTTGTATATTAATAGGATTGCCAGCCTTCACCATTGCTCTTATGTTACCCTTCAGACACTTATGTAACTACTTATATTATTCATGATTATATTAGGGCACTTTAAAAAAGTGTAAGACCTGTTAACATTTTCCAAACTACTGTATCTTCCATTATGTTAAATAAATACATTAGAAAAAGCTTTTACTGGTAATTATTGTTTTGTTTAAGTAACTACGGTTGTAATGTATTACAGGTACCCTTGGTGCTTTAGTTCTTATCAGTATTCTTTTTTCTCTTCAATTTAGGCGGTTTCCCAGAACCATGATTGCTTGATCTCACAACCCAGTGAAGACTTCTCTCCTGATAATGTCAAGTTCAGGCTACCCTCCGAACCAGGGAGCCTTCAGCACTGACCAGAGTCGATACCCTGCCCACTCTGCCCAGTATACCTTTCCCACCACTCGCCACCAGCAGGTGAGGAGGAGAGCTGCCTAGCTCCACATACTACAAATGTATTCCTCTTCCCTATTTACATATGTATGTTGGTGAAAGATCAAATCCCATTGTCATGTAAGAGGAAAAAAAAATAATGTCCCTAGTTGTCTGATGAGCACAGCCATCATGAACACTGACTGCACGCCCAGGCCTCTTTCCTCACTTGGCTTTGGTGCTGTGTTCAGGACAGTCCCTCCCTTGCCTTGGCTTCTGGAACTTGGAGGTAGATGAGAACTGTTAGTGAGTAGAGTACTTTTGGTGTCCTGGCTGTGTAAAGTTGGAACAGTGCAATGATCAACCTGAATCACTTGTGGGTAGACTCAAAGAGGCTGTCTTTCCTGCACATTCTTTGTGGTGCTGGGATGGAGGTGGCTTTGCTGACCTGGAACAGCCCCTGTGATTGACTCTGAGAAAATCTTTCTGCCCCTTAGAATGGGGACACTGGAGCCATTTATGGTAAAGGGTCAGTGTCGAAGGCTTTTTAAACCTCTTCCAAGTTTCTGCCCTGTGCTGTGGAACAAATAGGAATAGGTTTCATTTTGCTGGTCAGCTCTTACCCCTTGGGCTTCCTTGTTATATGCATCTGGACTAGAAGTTAGTTAAGAATTAAATTGAAGTTTACTTATTGACCATTAGAAACAATGATCACCTCAGCTTTCCTACAACTTAATTTGATTTACATCTAAGATAAAATTGGACATTTTCACTGAACATTTCAGTGCCAATAATGCCACAGCCTAGATTTGAAGACATAACTTGTCTGCTACCAGAACCAGCTGTATGCTTTTTTCTTCCCCTGTATCAGGTGTTGCTCAGATCCCAAATCTGCTGATTTCTCCTGAAGTGGTGACGTACAGTTAAACTCTTAGGTCCATGTATGAATGAACGTTCATTGGGTATCCTTGGTGGCTCTTCAGTTGCCAATCTGTTTCCAGCTCTGGATATCACGGAAGAAAAATGTCCTTTACTTTCAGCACTTAATTTTCATGTGTGCGAGTGCATGTGTGCTTATGCTAAAGATAGGAATGCCTTTTCAATATTAACTTGGCATAGATGTGATAGAATTTTATCCAGGACTCCAGTGGGTAAAGTAAGTATTAAAATGCTAATATGAGCCAAATTGCATTGATAGTTTATACTCTAAATACTTTGTGTTTTACTGAAATATATGGGGAGTATTTAAGGAACATTTCAAAAATTTACAATTTTGGGGTAGTGGCAGTGAAGATTCAGTTTGCAGCACAGTTTCTCATGAAGCATCATCTGTAAACATTGGTCAAGACTATCTGTGACCTTTGGGTAGCTTGATTTCATGGCCCTTTATAGTTTTCGTTAACACACTGATGATATATTATTGTTTGAATACTAGGAGTTTGCAGTACCTGATTATCGATCTTCTCATCTTGAAGTCAGTCAGGCATCACAGCTTCTGCAACAGCAGCAGCAGCAGCAGCAGCAGCAACAGCTGCGGAGGCGACCTTCCTTGCTTTCAGAATTTCACCCAGGCTCTGACAGGTAGTTTTTCCTTAACTTTTCATCCAAGGTGGAATGTGTGTATGTGTGTGTGTACACACACATCTACAAAATTGTTAATTTACCACTTAAACTACTTTTCATGGTATCTTTTGTATTTTCTTGTATGATATGCAGGCTTCTCTTAGTTGTAAATATCAGTCTGATAGAGTAATGACTGTAAGGTCTAAAGCTTGTTCTTCATTCTGTATGCTTTATTATCCCTTCTTCCCTGGGCCCAATCAGTCTCACATATTTTAATTTTTAATTTTTTTTTTTTGGTGAGGCAACGGTGTTAAGTGACTTGCCCAGAGTCACACAGCTAGTGAGTATTATGTGTCTGAGGCTGGATTTGAACTCAGGTCCTCATGACTCCAAGGCCAGTGCTCTATCCACTGCGCCACCTCGCAGCCCTCTTTTACCATTTTTAAAGAAACTCCTTTCTCATTTGAAGATAAAATTCAATCTGTTCCAGATGACTCTCTCTGACTCATGTGGACCTTTTAGATAGCTTTGTTGTTTCATTCTGTCAGACTGTTTGTGACCCCTTGGACCTCTCTGTCCATGGGGTTTTCCTAGCAAAAGTTCTGGAGTGGTTTGCCATTTCCTTCCCTAGTGGCAAACAGGGGTTATGTTTCTTGCCCAAGGTTACACAGCTTAAAGTTTTTCAAGGCTGGATTTGAACTCGGGTCTTCCTGACACCAATGACTGCAACACCTATATGCCCATATAATGATTTAAAATATCTGGATACATTTTAAGGAAAAACTACTCATAATAAATATCTGGATACATTTTAAGGAAAAACTACTCATAATTTTAATCTGTTACATTGGTTCAGAAAATTTTTGAGTGAGGGAAAGAGATCAATAAAGTCTTAGCCTTTTTCTGTGAAAAATAATCCTATTGATTGCTTAAATATAAACCCAAGTGTTTTTATCGTGAATATGATAGGGCAGTCCTTTAAATCACAGATTTCATTTTTTAGCTCAAGCTGGCATCTAAAAGCAAGTTGTTGTTTGGTTTGTTTTATCCAAAATGATCCTACGGGTTTTAAAGCCCACTCCCCCTGCCCTGCCTTTATAAATTATAGGCCTAATACCTAAAATTTTTTATTTTCAGGATATTAAAAAAAGCAGTTTTACATGTCAAAGTCCCTTTACATGTGGGTTATAGCAATCAGGAGATTTGGCATGTTAATCACATGTTCTGCTAAGTTGTAATTGTTTGTGTCATGTTAAGTATTATGTCTAAAATCTGTCATTTCTCTTTGATTTCTGCTGGTCTTTGGTAATGTGTGTGTGTGTGTGTGTATGTATGTATGTATGTGTGTGCACGCGTGTGCGAGCATGCATGCATGAGTGATTTTTAAAGAGCACATGAGATTCTGAGCATTGACAGAATGCCATGAGGAGTATAGAAAATTTGTTGTTAAAATAACAATCTATAACTTAGTTACTGTTTCATCTTCTGACCTGGAAAGATATAAGATTTGTTTATCTCTTGAGTGAAATATTGATGTGGGAGATATGAGACTAAAATATACAGGTACTAAAGCAAAATAGTGACTAAATAATAGTAAAATTAAAGACTGTCAGATAAAACAAATTAAGCCAAATATTGATTGAATGCTTATTTATATGCAAAGCACTGGGCTCTATCAGATAGAATGGGATATACAGTCTAAGCCTGCCTTGATTCAAAGGGCTTAACTGGGGGCAAAACATATAAGCATATAAAAATTAAATTGTCTAAGATATAAATGGCATTTCAAAGGCTTGATTACAAAATGTTCAGGTGATTGGTAGGAGAGCTCCAAAGAAGGAAGCCTGACTTGCTTGGGGTCTTTGACAGGACTTGGCCTCTGGTGGAGGCAGGCAGGAGCTAAGCTTCTCTCCTCCTAGCACCTTAGCAGGCGGGGCTGCTGAATGAGAGAAGCTAAAGTTTATGTGACTAAGAAAACGAACATTTCCCCAGCCTTCTCTTTTTACACATGCATTTTTTTTATCGGCCAAACCCTTTAGCAAATTATAATGGAAGTCCTCATAGATAGGAATACAAAAGTATAAATTCAAACACACTTAAAACAATAGCTTCATGCCTGTGTCACTGATCTGACTTTCTTTTGGTAAGCATCTGGTATCCAACTGTGTTGGTGCTCTGTTAGGTATCAGGTTTTCTCTTTGATTTTGGTGTGAAAATGGTCCCTCTAGTGGTCCAAGACTCAGACACATGCAGACGTATGCGGACACACTCACACAGACATACGCAAACACATAAGTGTCCATATGATGCACAGACACACACACACACACACACACACAGAGGCACACTAGATTCCTTGTGCGTATCTTATCTAGTTTGTGAATCATCCCTTGTCGCTCCCTGTTGGGCTGCTAGGCTTATTTCCCTTGCAGACTTTTTTTTTTTTTTGAGTAACCGGCCTCAGTTGAGGGTCTTGGGGAGTGCAAAAGAACATGAATGTTATTTTCATTTGCTGCTATTGAATCATATGCTATATTTGAAAGTCAAATGTCAGTGATTCTTAGAATTACCTACTGCTTCATACTTTGTACCCCAGTGTGCTGAGCTCTGCATAGTGCTGGCAGGCAGGAGAGTGATGGAGGCAGGGCCAGCCTTGGCAGCTGAGCGATCTTGCTTTAAGTTTTAGCTCTGCTTCTGGCAAGTCGCATAACTTGTCAGTGCCCCAGACTGGGCGTTTAAGGAGTTGCCAGACTTACATGGTAGAGGGACTTTCCACAACAGAAATCCTCTGCACCAGTGAATCACTGGACGGTACTATTGTCATCCCCTCTCCCCAAATATAACTTGAAAAATTAATAAGGAAGTTCACCAGCATCATAGGATTCAGAGTTACTGAACGTACCATTCAAAGGTTTCTTTTCCTTCCGTATCACTTAGAGAAATTGTAACTTCCCCTTTGAATCTCCAGGGCAGTGTTTATTTCAAGGCTAGGTGGAGTTGTTCAAGAGGCACATTGTATGCTTTTCAAAACATTAAATGTTTGTTGTCTATTATGTGTTTTAGGCCTCAGGAAAGGAGAACTGGGTATGAACAGTTTCATCCAGGTCCGTCTCAGGTGGACCATGATTCCCTGGAAGCTAAGCGACCTCGGCTGGACCAGGTTTCTGACACACATTTTCAGCGGGTCAGTGCTGCTGTCTTGCCTTTAGTACACACACTGCCAGAGGGGCTGCGGGCATCTACGGAGGTTAAGAAGGTAAATAAATATTTGGTCTCTTAATTTGAGGAGCTGGAGGTTTGTTTGTTTAACTATGTTGAAACTCAGTGTGTACAGGAGCAAAAGTAGAGTTAGGACAGGCTTTCAACTTTAGTTAGCCCATGAACAGATAAATATTTTATGAAAAATAAAAAGTCTAACTAAAAGTTTTTCAGGCTTTTAAATGAAGTACGTTGTCATCTAAGAGACCCTCATTTTAATGACTAAATGGGAATTGTTAATGAAAATGTGGAAATTAATTTAAAGAAATATTTTCATTGAATTGTCTTTTCAACTTTTAAAAAATTCCATAGCAGCCAGAGATTAAGGAGAAAAACATCTTTTGACAATTTTTGACCACTGAAAGCAGTCTGAACAGTATTTGTTTATTTCTTTCTATATGACAACAGTGAGCCCAGTGGTAAAAGAAAATACTTAATTGGAAAAGGTTTTGTTGGAAGAACTTAGTCCAAGAGTTGTGAACAAAAGAGTGTGGTTTTTCCTGCTAATGTGGAGAATATACGTATGTTCTGTTTTATCTGGCTGTCTACTGGTATGATTAGTAATGATGCTATAGTAGATATTTCTGTTTTCTATCTTATTCTGAATTACTGCAAAGAATGTTAAAAGAGGATCACCATATTTATTACCTGCACATTTGTATTCATAGAGCTATGGCTGATATGGAACAGTATAAATGTGGGCCTTCTCTCTGGGAGCTTCCATTTTAGTTGGAGAGATAAGATATATCTTATATATCTTATACACACAGATCACCATCTTTAGTTAAGTCAAGTCCATAAGTATTTATTAAGTACTTACTTTGGGCCAGGCACTGTGTTGCTAAGTGCTGGGAATACAGATGCAGTCAGAGAAAATAACAGTCCCTGACCTGGAGGAGTTTATGTTCTTCTGGGGAACAGTACTGAAAAGGGGGGAGAAGGAGGCTAGGCTGTGGTGCTGTTGTAAGGAGAGTTGGGAGACAAGTCAGAAATGCAGTTTGGAAGGGAATGAAGATGTGGCTGGTCCAGGTGTCCTCCTCCTGATAGAGGTTGTAGGTGAAACCAGCCAGTCAGAAGGAGGATGTATCAAAGCAATGGCTTCTTTCAATGTGAGGGAGACCTGTGTGCATCGTAGAAGAAGGCGGGGAGGATAATCAAGTGTAGCCCTCAGAGGAGTGTAGGTATAGGTGCTCTTAGTTCTTTGAAGATTTCATGGCACTTATTCTCTTAATACATTAATATTGTGTCCGTATCTTTCCAACTAGATGGTGAGATCCTTGAGGTTGTGAACGGCATCTCATCCGTTTTGGTACAATCAAATATTTATTGAACTTAATAGACTTATTCATGCCAAATCAGTGATATAGAAGGTAAAGGCATGTTTCAACACAAGTATTGGGGTTGTTTGAGAGGTTTCAAAGGAAGTGGTATTGGAGCTGGATTCAGAAGGCTAGGTAGGCTTTTGACTGGTGGGAAGACAAAGGGATGTGTTTTCTAATAAAGTCCGATGTGATGAGTGGTGCAGAGGTGCAAGACATGTTCCAGGATACAGTGATTCTCCATCCTTGTTTTTGTTTATCAGGAACCATTTGGGATATTCTCCCAAGCCTTGTGGCATGGCCCTTGCAAGAGGATTCAAGGAATAGTATTGTAAGAAGTGAAGTGCTTAAGAACTGTTAGTGTTAAAAAAAAATTTTCTGTTCAACAACTAGCCGAACTGTAAGGCTTATAGAAGTGTTCATAAGACTTTTCCCTCAAGTTAAAATACCATTTTGGACTATGTAGGCTTTTGATCTTCTAACGGATGAAGCATTGAAGTGCGTACGTGATTATTTTCTTGATCGGTCTTTTCAGAAGGTGACTAGCTTCCATTTGTTTCAGTGCTGAAGGCTTTGTTATGGCTCTGGCGCTCTGCCCTGGACCCAGGCTGGGTTTGGATCTTCACCTCATCTCGGGTTCTGGCCCACAAGATCCGCTTGAGGGAGTCCTGGGGAGGGTACCAAGCCCAGCTCGGGGGCCAAGCTGGACTCAGTGTTTCCTGTGGCACTTATGTTGGTGGCTTTAGATCAGAATTGCTGAACGAAGCTGAGCCAGGGTTTCATTCTCTTAGGGGACAGAATGGACTGGGGGGGAAGAGTTTTGGCTTGGTTTCCTATAAAATGGAGAGTTTGAATTAGATCGCCTCCCCAGTCCATTCCAGCTTCTGTGTATGGGAGACTTAGAGGCAGAAGCTTGAGGCTAAGATTCTGCCTTGGCCAGACCCCTTTCAACCTAAGTTCCTTCATTTGTGCAAGATTATTGTATAGAAATGCATACTATTGTATGTATTATTGTATTGCCCTGGAAACTGCAAAGTGCTACATGGACATAAGCTTCTCTTATTGCCAGACATGGAACTCTCTCCCCAGACTCTTTTCCTTCTGGTGATTTGTTTTAATTTCTGATCTCATGTTTTTATCTAGAATGGGCACCACATTTTGGTAAAGGAACTGGATAAAATAAGCACAACAAAATGATTTGCACTTTTTTATGATGTAAAAGATATTTATTATTTTGACTCTTTAGAGGTAGTAAATTTGGAGTAAATTTCAAGAAATTTAGTTGGTAAAATGTAGAATTCTCTTAAGTGTTACTGAAAGAATAAATAGGATTTGGTTCTACTTTCTTAGCTTTATTTTATTCTTCTGTTACTACTTGAATGAGATTAGTGCAGGTTAATTTTGTTACAGTGAAAGAGTAGCTATAACAGATATTTCCAAGTGCTAACCCAGGGTCCACTTGATATAACAAAATTCCACTGAAGTGAAATAATTTGGGTATCCCTTTGAAATTGGCTTATGATGTAATCTAATGCGTAGTACATTTTCTATTAAAGAAACATCAGTAGGCAAAAGTACGATATGCCAATCTCCTCCCAGAGATGCTATAAGCAGTAAAACACTCTAATCTCAGGAGAATAACAATTATAAATAACTTAAGAGATAAAGAAGGACGTATATGTGGTAGGCATAAGGAGGCTACAGCACATGGCTGACAATTATTTATGCCCAAGAAAAGTAACAAAGTATACTGATGATGAAATATGGAACCAGAAAAGAGGGCAGCCATCGAACATATTACAGTTTTTTTCTGTGGTTCAGTTTGAGCACTAGATTTCACTGAAAATACCTCCCTTTCCCCCGTATTAGAAATAGGCTAATTATAAACGAACCATTTATAAATTCAGTATACCCAACATAGACTTTTGTTCCTTTCTCTTTAAAAATTCAAGTTCAGCAGTTTGTTAAATAAGCTGATGTAATCATTTTGCCTCAATACTGTAGCACTCTCTGAGTTCATATTGGTGTGGAGAGTCCTTCCAAAGTTCCAGATCACAGCTCTTCTTGTAGGGTTGGCCTGGCCAAAGGTTCTCAGCCTGCAGACCGCTTGGTGATGAACTCCTGTATTTGGAATCTCTCCAGCCTGATAGATCCTGCTTAGATACATAACCTTTAGTTAAAATGACTGTTTTGTAATGGTTTATGTTAATGATCCCTCTAGTCAGATCTTTGATCTCCCTCAAGCGTCACCCCCTGTTCCTTTAGGGAGTCTTGTCTCTTGCCACAGGCTTTCCTCTGGCCCTTCTGATTCCCTTATAGTGCTGTTGTCTCTCCCTTTTGGTCTGTGGCTGGGCTGCCCTCTTTTCTGATTCCGTATTTCATCATCAGTATGCTTTGTTACATTTCTTGGGCGTGACTGATTGTCAGCCATATGTGGTAGCCTTCTTATGCCTATCACAGATATGTCCTTCTTTACCTCTTAAGTTATTTATAATTGTTATTCTCCTGAGATTAGAGTGTTTTACTGCTTTATAGCCTCTCTGGGAGGAGATTGGCATATAGTACTTTCGGAGCAAGGATCAGTTTTTTGACCATAGTTATATATAGCATGTCATAGTTTCCCAAATGTAATCTAGCCTTAAAAGTATTCTCCTCCGTCCTAAACCTGTCTCATTGTTTGCCTGCAGCTCCTCTTACGTATGTAGATGGCCTAATTGGTTGTCTGCTTCTCATTACATAGGCCTTTGTATCATTTTAATATATGTACTGGAAACATCTCATTTAAGGAGATTCAAGACTGAATTTTCTCTTACTAAGTAAAATGCTTTTTAAAAAATCGAGTAGATAAACGTAGGTGAACTCTATCTTTTTCATACCTCTTTGACTTTTATGGCCATGAAAGATAATATTTTGTAGAAGTTTACTTATATCTTTTTCGTGATTTATTTTGTTTTTTATTTTTAATCAAGACTAACCCTGGTCGTTGTTTTCACTACTGCCAGAATTGTTACTGAAGATGACCAAGTTGGTACTAGGCTGGTGGAGTAATGATCTGCCTTGAGTGCTACTCACTACTTCCACTGGCTGTTGGTAAGGCCCCAGATGAGTGTCAGCCAGTTTTCTCCCATATTTTAGTAGAAGTATCATTGAAGAGATGTTTTCCATTCTTTTTAGCATCTTTCCTTTCTGTGAAAAAGCTTGAATATTCTGCCACCTCCACAACGGATTTCTTCAGTACATATTTCATCTGTTCAGGAAGTCTTCCTTTATTTAGCCTTTTCTTTCTATCTGTACTTTTTAAAAAAAATTATAGTTGTGAACTTGACAAACATCAGCAAATGAGCATTTCTGTATGCAAAGAAAAACACAAAAAGAGGATTGTATGTTAAACTGAGAGTCTCTGTTATGGCTTTACTCTAAAAGTATGTTTTTCAACCCAGTTAGCACAGCACTGGCCAACTTGTCAGGGCTCCCTTTCGAACTCCGTTCTGTTCTCTTTTAGACTGTGTTTGTTGTATGTCTCATTGCCACTCTTTTCTTTTTCCTTATTTAATCTTAACTGCCTTTGCACTCATGATTTATCAGGCATGAAAGGTAGTAGAGTTTAACTAAGATAGTTCTACTTTTGCCGTGAATGAGAACCCATCACTCCTCAAATGTCCACAGATTTGTTCTCCAG